CCCCCCCCCCCCTAGCCTATACCTTACCATAGGTCGGAGGCAGAAACTGTGAGATAAAACGTTATGAACCTGATCACGGCGGGGCTGGAACCTCAACATTTTTAGCTTAGTCCGACACATTACAACACTCACCGAATTTAGTGCAATGCTTTGCTCTGATAAGTGGAGAAATAGCTTCTCATAGACACCGTAACAGCGTGTCAACTCAATAAAGTGAAACGCTCAACTGAATATGTTTCACGTTGAAACATTTTGTTGCAGTGGCATTTGGGATTTTTTGAAAAGGAATACACACCAACCTACCGCGGGTTTGAGACTTTCTACGGGTTTTGGAATGGAAAAGAAGATTACTGGGACCACTCGTCACTGGAGGATGTTTGGGGGAGAGATCTCAGAGATAACATGGAGGTAAACACAGCTCAACTCCATTGAACTCTAAAACATGCAAATAGAAGCCTAGGGTAACCCAAGAATATGAAACTGTTGCGGTTATTTTGGTCTATTTACATGGTCTATGTACATGAACTTTGTATTACATGCGAATCAAGTGCAGGAACTTGTTCGCTGAGCAAGTACGATTGAAGTTTTCGAAAAAATGTTTTGTAATTATAGTGCGAATTCGTGAAAGCTTGTCATAGCCGCTGCCACGTGCTTTTTGCTGAATTACGTTTCTCACGTCAGCTGCCGCACACATGGATAGAGCAAAATAGCAATCCATATTACAACCCAAGATCTCAATATTTCAAAATGCAGGTAGAATTTAAGTCTAAATGTGTGAAAGCCGGCTCAATTTAAGTTTTCAAAATGCTTTTAGAATTCCAGTGCGAATACGTGATTGAAAGCATGTCAAAGCCGCTCGGCCGCCGAAGTCAGAGAAGATTATCCAGCAAGAAGTACATGGCAGTTGCATAAGTATCCAAAAAAAGACTAAACTATCAGAAAACTCATTTTCAGGTTTATAATATAACTTTTTAACGGTTAATTTGAGCCATTATCAATCTATCTCCTGTCATGGCGCACAAAATATTTAACGTACAGGACCCGCTGCAAGCACCACGAAGACTGCTTGACGTAAGTCAGATAATACTCCAGACATCGAGTTTTGAATTTATAACTATAATAATAATAATTGTTGTTGTTGTTGTTGTTGTTGTTGTTGTTGTTGAGAAGGTTACTAGGCAATTTAAAGTCTTCGTTAGAGCCTACTGGCCCATCAGGCCGGTTCTGCGCTCTAGGTTCCAGACATCTAATATTTACGAATTATTTTTTTTTTTAATATAATAATCAAATGAATGCGCGCGCTTTGATTCGTCAATCAGGTGTGGTTTATTGTACCAGTAAACTCATGGAAATTTCGCTTGTCTTCTGAATTATTGTATAAAAGCAATAGACCGCAAGTTTCTATGGCCATGGTTTAGAGGCATGATAAACCATAAAAACTTGTGGTCTATTGCTTGACAAAAATTTGTAGCGGTCACTTTTGAAAATGTATGTATACTAGCATACGAAACGTCAAGTTATGTATTAAAATGCGTTGGAATACAATGTTTATCACCACTGTTTGTGTCATGTTCTTAATCAAGCTACGATGGTTTAAGAACAGGAGTTTATATAAAGCAACTAGGATTATTTCTACTCCCCCCTGGATGGGATGCTAGTTCACCGTAGGGTTACCCCCAGCATTAAATTTACCAGTACCCACTTATACACCTGGGTGGAGACAGGCCCTGTGGGTCAAAGTTGTGTATAAAATATATCCACAACCTCAAAGGAACTAAAAAGAAACTATCTTTCTCACCGAATGGAACTTCGAATTGTCCCACGGAGTTAGACCAAGCCAAGCCCTGGGACAATTGGAAAAGGTTTCTCTCTGTAAGCTTAAATTGAAACAACTAAAGTACGTCTATATTTTATACACATTCAAAGAACCCTCCTGCCACGCGAGATACCTATTAATGTAACATTTAATGTCGGCAAAGCTCCTGAGTGAAGTCTTTCGAAGGGGACAAAATTGGGTGAAATATTTTAATTTTGTTAATGTTCCATTGGAAGTCGTTGTTTACCTCAACTATCTCTGCATAAATATAATTATCTGTACTTTTAACACAACTTTCTTTTTCTTCAGAAATTTCCTCACTTTTCAACTGAAGATAGAAGAATCTACGCTGCTATGGTGGCTTCGTTGGATGAATCTGTTGGAAACATTACAAAAGCTCTTAAAAGAAGTGGATTGTATGACAACTCTGTCATCGTTTTCACGACAGATAACGGAGGTGCTCCCTGGGGATTTAACTGGTAAGAGAAACCCTCTCAGCCCGTTCATACGTCATCAACTCAATGGACAACATCTTTGGAATGCAATACCTTTTAGCTCTTATTAACCGAAAAGGAGGTCTGTATGGGAGAATCTTGACCGAGGTCGTGAGTACAGACCGAACGCAGTGACGTCTGTACACACAACCGAGGTCAAGATTCTCCCATACAGACTCACTAAGCTCGGTTGATAAGATGTTTATATATGGCAAACAAGAATTCTTCTATTGTTACTGGTTTGGACTAGCTGAAATTTTGCTTGCGAACGGCGATGAGCTGAACTTAAATCTGGCAAAGTTTGCTAATCTCTTTCTACTTATTTTTCTCATCAGGCATTTTGGCAAGTGAAGTTATTAAACAGTTTATATTCTCCTGTGTACGTATTTAGGAATCAAGGCTCGAATTACCCACTCAGAGGAGGAAAAGTGACATTATGGGAGGGAGGGGTCCGTGGTGTCGGATTTGTACACAGCAATTTGATAAGAAAAAAAGAGCGCGTCAGTTATGACTTAATTGATGCCACAGATTGGTTACCAACCTTCTATCATCTGGCTGGCGGTAACGTCTCCATGATAGAAGATAAGATTGATGGCATGAATGTGTGGGACACCTTAGCGCATGGAAAGAAATCTCCAAGAACTGAGGTACGACTGAACAACATTGCTCTGAAACACAACTGTGAAACACAGAAAAATAAACACCATTTCGACCCTTCACTGTTCTAAGTATATTTGACAATTAGATTATGAGCTCGAGATTTCTATCACGTGTAGAAATCGAGAGCAAATAATCTAATTGTTTTAGTATAAATCTACTAGTCGTTCAAAGCTTTATTTAAATCTGTAAAGAAGCGGTCGCCATCTTATTAACAGCCGCACAATGCTAGGCTACTCATTATCTACAACAGAATAGAGAGTGAGTCAGCGTATCAGAGAACGGTATTTGTGATAGAACGCTAGTACATTTTAACTAACAAGAAATAGAAGATTCCAAAACGTACGGCGATAAAACTCTGCGTACAACAACTTTTGATTAGTCATGATCAGTTCTATGCTTTTTTGTGGTCTATTAGTTGATTTATTTGGTTCACGTCTTGATTTTTCGCTAAAATGCAGATGATTTGTTGTAACCAATATGTACCCTTGAAGCGCCGCAGGTTTCTCAAGGCTCTAAGTTGGGGAACATCATGAAACGTTGACGAGGTTTTTACTTGCAAACTAAACAAAGCATGGATGCGCAGTGCAAATCAACCAAGGCCACTCAAGTCAATGGCTTAACTTTGAAGATGATCGGTTAAACTGTTTTTCCGTTTCTTAGGTTCTTCACAACATTGACCCCATCAGTAGATTCGCAGCAATCAGAGTGGAGCGATACAAGTTAGTTGTGAATCAGGACGGTTTTTACAAATCAACTTGGTATCCACGTTATGAGGTACCAGGAGAACTGGACACTATGCCACAGCCCCGCACACTGCCTGGCGCGGTTATTCAGTGTGGCGAGTGGAACAGTAGCATAGAAACTGCATGCAACAGTGATGTGTTCCCTTGTTTGTTTGACATTGAAGAAGGTACAATATAAAAGAGAAAATATTAATTCAAAACATGACACACGTCATGAGGAATCGATTAGCCACGCTGTTCCTGTAGTAGCTTGTTTGTGAATCACTGACTGACTGGATGACTGATTGATTGATTGATTGATTGATTGATTGATTGAGCGAGTGAGTGAGTGAGTGATTGATTGATTGATTGATTGATTGACAGACTGAATGCAAGTCAAAAAGTCAGTCAGTCAGCCAGTCTCTGACTGACGGGATGACTTTGTCAGCCAAAGGCTCTGACTGGCGGAATAACTGCGTAACTGACTGATCTACTGAAGACTGACTGATTTACTGACTGACTGACTGCGTAACTGACTGACCTACTGAGGACTGACTGATTTACTGACTTCCTAACTGCCTGACTGCGTGACTGCATGACTGCCTGACTACGTACTGCCTAACTGACAGGCTGACTGACTGACTAACTGACTGAGCGACGGACTAACTGACTGGCTGGCTGACTGACTGACTGACTGGCTGGCTAACTGAATGACTGATTGGCTGATTGGCTGACTAAATGACTCCGTCAGCCTCTCTGTAAGCCAAAGGCCTTAAATGAGTCATTAAATGAGTGACGACCTCCTGGTAACGACCTATAAAACGAAGCCTAACGAAAATACGAGTTTGGAATTGCGTTGGCCGAGTTGTTAAAACCTTACAATCCCGCCGATTCTTTGTCATCGAATTTTAAAATATTGTTCAATGCGTCTCCTGGTTTCTCTTTCAGACCCTTGCGAGTACAAAAACATTGCTAAAACTCATATCGACATAGTAAGGCGTCTGGTCTTGAGGCTGATTTATTACCAGAGAAGGGCCCTTCCTGTGTGGTTTCCAGAGACGGACACGAAAGCTGACCCAGCAAAGCATTGTGGGTTTTGGAGTCCTTGGAGGTCCTCAAAGAAAAACAAAGCTATTTTGCAGAAAGTTATTGATAACTTACCTTCAGGAGTTGAGAGAAAACATAAATGTAAGGGCAAATGCGCGGCACGTGAGACTAAGAAAACTGAAAAAACAGAAAAGGTCTCTTTTAATACATACGAGGCAGAAGAAAAAAAATTTTATCAGACTCTGAAGGGAATTCTCCGAATGGTTAACGAAGAACGCAAAAAGGGCCACATTCCCCGGGCAAGCAGTAAAGTAACGAAAGCGTCCAATGCAATGCTTTGGTAGATAAGGACATCTTTGTATCAAAGGATCTCGAGAGTTTTGCAAAACTATCTTGCTTTAGTTGTTCGCAAAGTATAAAGTGGTAACTGAGTTTCAAATGAAATGGTTCAATAATCACGCCCATTGGCCTTTCACATACTTGTGTAGCTTCTATAAAAGTGAGTTCTCCAATTTTTTTCTTTTTTCTTGGAAATCGTTAGATTTTATCGATATCCGAATGTCAAAATGTATGCTTAATCTGTAACGTAAATAAAATTAAAGAAGAGCGACATCCGAGTACTGATTTAATAGTTTATTACCTCGCATGAAATATATTTAATATGTGATACCTTTGATGGATTCAGTCTTCATGTTACTACTGGAGCGGCTAAATGAATAGTGCGTTTGACTCTAGATCAAGGGGGAGTACGAATCCCTAGTTTTAGTAAGACAGTGTCTCTCACTCGCCACCCTGGAGTAAAGCCTGAGGTCTAGGCTGATGTAATCAGCGTGTGTAGAAGATAGGGGGCTGGGGAACTGGAAATGAGAAAGAAAGAAAAATCTCTCAATTTTAAACGTCAAAAACTCGAAACCAGTGAAAGCCTTATCAAGGCGCTATGCCTCTGACTGATATCTCTGAAATACTCGTAAATTTTCGTAGAAAGTACCTTTTGAAGCACTAAAATTTGAACAAGCTTTGCAAACTCATCGCAATGCTAGCAAAGTGAACAGTAATAAATTTAGAGACAGCACACGGCGAGCGAGATTTCGGAATACCTGTATCAATGGTATACGACCGATTAAAACTGTTGAGTTTATTACCAGTGAAAAAGCAGTTCTTACGATAAAATAACTTTCTAATCTTCTCCTTACGGCACACCAAATCTATCCTGACAATCTGTAGCCTTATTGACTTCTAAACAGCCCCTGTTATATATTAGATTACTCTTATACAAATAACCTCGTTAATATCAGGTTTGTTATGATCTAGGTAAGTTTTTTAGCTTCTAAAAATTATATTAAAGGTAAATGTCAGAGTTTTTATTATTGTCCCGGATAAAATCATCATTACCATTATCATTAGCATTATCATCGTCATTATCATCGTCATTATCATTATCATTATCGTTATCCATGTCATCGCTAATGCCATCGCTGTCCTGAAATTCCATCTCAGATTTCCCCCCTGATGTTTGATCGTTTGTCTCCGTGGACTGACCCGAAGATTCCACCTCAGAATCATATTCATCCTCTATTTGTGCGTATGAATTTCTGTCATTTTCACTGTTATCTGCCATAAGCTCACCATTCTCGAGATCATTTTGATCAACTTCCTCAAAACCTGAGCTTGTGTCCAAAGGAGGCGCCTCATCCATATCTTGGTCCTCATCTCTTGAATTGCTGCGCATTTCCAAGGGGTTGTCAACTCCATTATTTATAGAGTTGTCATCTGTAATATGAACTTTCTCAATCTCTGTCCGCCTTGTCCCTGTTTTGTCTACCGTTTGTTGATTTTTATTCATGAACTTTTTCAGTTTGCTTGATTCCAAAGAAGAGTTCATCTTGGTCAAGGCGCTAGAGCGAGTTTGTTCCTTGACAAGTTTTACAGGAGTATGCTCTTTTCTCCTTGCTACTCGACCTTTTTTAATCATCTGCAGTTTATGCATCAAATCATCCACCTTGGTCTTTTGTCTCATCTTGGCGTACAACATAGCTAACGATTCTTTCATTAGCCTGCTGTTTCGAGGTATTTGACCTTTTTTGCCTTCTTTTGTCTTTTGGAGAATCTTCTCCAGCATCAGATAAACCTCTTTGTCACTATCTTCGTGAGTGCTAAACACTTTTCCCATTTTCTTCCCATTGCTTTTGCCGTTTGTGTGACGAGAGTGTTTCTTCCCACTCACTGATGGTATGGAATCAAGGACGTTATCTAAAATAATTTTGTTAGCTGTTGACGACCTCCAAGGGCCCCAAAATCCAATGGTCCCGTTTTTTGATGGGTTCGCAAGGGGGTCCCTCTCAGGGAACCACACGGGACTGGCCTTTTTTTGGTAATCAATGAGCTTGTGAAGAAGTTGGTCCACAATGTCAATATGAGTGTGCGCAAGGTTTCTGTACTCGCAAGGATCTGAAAAAAAATTACAATGTTATCCAGGTCGAATTGGAATTTGGACATGTTGGCTTCTGTCGAGGAAAGAAAGCCGGAGAACCCGGAGAAAAATCATCGGAGCAAGGCGAGAGTCAACAACAAACTCAATCCACATATGGCACCGGGTCGGAATCGAACCCAGGCCACATTGGTTGGAAGCGAGCGTTCTCACGACTACCCCATTCCTGATTACCAAAAAATTCCATAAAAAAGGTTTTAAAAAAAAACTCGATTTGGAGTGGTATTCGATCTTGGAATAAATGCAACTATTTTTCTAACAGACATCATGTATAATTTACTGACCTTTCTTTATGTTAAACAAACACGGAAAGTCATCAGTGTTACAAACAGTTTCTTTCCTTTTTGACCACTTTCCGCAATTAATAACTGCACCGGGTAAAGTGGAGGGCTGGGGTAGAGTATCCAGTTCCCCCTCGACGTCATACCGCGGATGCCACGTTGTTTTGTAAACAGCATCCTGGTTAATAATCAACTTGTAGTTCCCGACACGAATGGCTGCAAATTTACGAATGGGATCAATGTTGTGAAGAACCTAACAAAGAAAGCACAAAATTTCTTTAGCCTTACCCGTAGAATAGATTGCATAAATATTTAGCTATATTTTAGAGTGTTATGTCACGTCAGGCCGTATGACATGGTTTTCGTNTAACATTTAATGTCGGCAAAGCTCCTGAGTGAAGTCTTTCGAAGGGGACAAAATTGGGTGAAATATTTTAATTTTGTTAATGTTCCATTGGAAGTCGTTGTTTACCTCAACTATCTCTGCATAAATATAATTATCTGTACTTTTAACACAACTTTCTTTTTCTTCAGAAATTTCCTCACTTTTCAACTGAAGATAGAAGAATCTACGCTGCTATGGTGGCTTCGTTGGATGAATCTGTTGGAAACATTACAAAAGCTCTTAAAAGAAGTGGATTGTATGACAACTCTGTCATCGTTTTCACGACAGATAACGGAGGTGCTCCCTGGGGATTTAACTGGTAAGAGAAACCCTCTCAGCCCGTTCATACGTCATCAACTCAATGGACAACATCTTTGGAATGCAATACCTTTTAGCTCTTATTAACCGAAAAGGAGGTCTGTATGGGAGAATCTTGACCGAGGTCGTGAGTACAGACCGAACGCAGTGACGTCTGTACACACAACCGAGGTCAAGATTCTCCCATACAGACTCACTAAGCTCGGTTGATAAGATGTTTATATATGGCAAACAAGAATTCTTCTATTGTTACTGGTTTGGACTAGCTGAAATTTTGCTTGCGAACGGCGATGAGCTGAACTTAAATCTGGCAAAGTTTGCTAATCTCTTTCTACTTATTTTTCTCATCAGGCATTTTGGCAAGTGAAGTTATTAAACAGTTTATATTCTCCTGTGTACGTATTTAGGAATCAAGGCTCGAATTACCCACTCAGAGGAGGAAAAGTGACATTATGGGAGGGAGGGGTCCGTGGTGTCGGATTTGTACACAGCAATTTGATAAGAAAAAAAGAGCGCGTCAGTTATGACTTAATTGATGCCACAGATTGGTTACCAACCTTCTATCATCTGGCTGGCGGTAACGTCTCCATGATAGAAGATAAGATTGATGGCATGAATGTGTGGGACACCTTAGCGCATGGAAAGAAATCTCCAAGAACTGAGGTACGACTGAACAACATTGCTCTGAAACACAACTGTGAAACACAGAAAAATAAACACCATTTCGACCCTTCACTGTTCTAAGTATATTTGACAATTAGATTATGAGCTCGAGATTTCTATCACGTGTAGAAATCGAGAGCAAATAATCTAATTGTTTTAGTATAAATCTACTAGTCGTTCAAAGCTTTATTTAAATCTGTAAAGAAGCGGTCGCCATCTTATTAACAGCCGCACAATGCTAGGCTACTCATTATCTACAACAGAATAGAGAGTGAGTCAGCGTATCAGAGAACGGTATTTGTGATAGAACGCTAGTACATTTTAACTAACAAGAAATAGAAGATTCCAAAACGTACGGCGATAAAACTCTGCGTACAACAACTTTTGATTAGTCATGATCAGTTCTATGCTTTTTTGTGGTCTATTAGTTGATTTATTTGGTTCACGTCTTGATTTTTCGCTAAAATGCAGATGATTTGTTGTAACCAATATGTACCCTTGAAGCGCCGCAGGTTTCTCAAGGCTCTAAGTTGGGGAACATCATGAAACGTTGACGAGGTTTTTACTTGCAAACTAAACAAAGCATGGATGCGCAGTGCAAATCAACCAAGGCCACTCAAGTCAATGGCTTAACTTTGAAGATGATCGGTTAAACTGTTTTTCCGTTTCTTAGGTTCTTCACAACATTGACCCCATCAGTAGATTCGCAGCAATCAGAGTGGAGCGATACAAGTTAGTTGTGAATCAGGACGGTTTTTACAAATCAACTTGGTATCCACGTTATGAGGTACCAGGAGAACTGGACACTATGCCACAGCCCCGCACACTGCCTGGCGCGGTTATTCAGTGTGGCGAGTGGAACAGTAGCATAGAAACTGCATGCAACAGTGATGTGTTCCCTTGTTTGTTTGACATTGAAGAAGGTACAATATAAAAGAGAAAATATTAATTCAAAACATGACACACGTCATGAGGAATCGATTAGCCACGCTGTTCCTGTAGTAGCTTGTTTGTGAATCACTGACTGACTGGATGACTGATTGATTGATTGATTGATTGATTGATTGATTGAGCGAGTGAGTGAGTGAGTGATTGATTGATTGATTGATTGATTGACAGACTGAATGCAAGTCAAAAAGTCAGTCAGTCAGCCAGTCTCTGACTGACGGGATGACTTTGTCAGCCAAAGGCTCTGACTGGCGGAATAACTGCGTAACTGACTGATCTACTGAAGACTGACTGATTTACTGACTGACTGACTGCGTAACTGACTGACCTACTGAGGACTGACTGATTTACTGACTTCCTAACTGCCTGACTGCGTGACTGCATGACTGCCTGACTACGTACTGCCTAACTGACAGGCTGACTGACTGACTAACTGACTGAGCGACGGACTAACTGACTGGCTGGCTGACTGACTGACTGACTGGCTGGCTAACTGAATGACTGATTGGCTGATTGGCTGACTAAATGACTCCGTCAGCCTCTCTGTAAGCCAAAGGCCTTAAATGAGTCATTAAATGAGTGACGACCTCCTGGTAACGACCTATAAAACGAAGCCTAACGAAAATACGAGTTTGGAATTGCGTTGGCCGAGTTGTTAAAACCTTACAATCCCGCCGATTCTTTGTCATCGAATTTTAAAATATTGTTCAATGCGTCTCCTGGTTTCTCTTTCAGACCCTTGCGAGTACAAAAACATTGCTAAAACTCATATCGACATAGTAAGGCGTCTGGTCTTGAGGCTGATTTATTACCAGAGAAGGGCCCTTCCTGTGTGGTTTCCAGAGACGGACACGAAAGCTGACCCAGCAAAGCATTGTGGGTTTTGGAGTCCTTGGAGGTCCTCAAAGAAAAACAAAGCTATTTTGCAGAAAGTTATTGATAACTTACCTTCAGGAGTTGAGAGAAAACATAAATGTAAGGGCAAATGCGCGGCACGTGAGACTAAGAAAACTGAAAAAACAGAAAAGGTCTCTTTTAATACATACGAGGCAGAAGAAAAAAAATTTTATCAGACTCTGAAGGGAATTCTCCGAATGGTTAACGAAGAACGCAAAAAGGGCCACATTCCCCGGGCAAGCAGTAAAGTAACGAAAGCGTCCAATGCAATGCTTTGGTAGATAAGGACATCTTTGTATCAAAGGATCTCGAGAGTTTTGCAAAACTATCTTGCTTTAGTTGTTCGCAAAGTATAAAGTGGTAACTGAGTTTCAAATGAAATGGTTCAATAATCACGCCCATTGGCCTTTCACATACTTGTGTAGCTTCTATAAAAGTGAGTTCTCCAATTTTTTTCTTTTTTCTTGGAAATCGTTAGATTTTATCGATATCCGAATGTCAAAATGTATGCTTAATCTGTAACGTAAATAAAATTAAAGAAGAGCGACATCCGAGTACTGATTTAATAGTTTATTACCTCGCATGAAATATATTTAATATGTGATACCTTTGATGGATTCAGTCTTCATGTTACTACTGGAGCGGCTAAATGAATAGTGCGTTTGACTCTAGATCAAGGGGGAGTACGAATCCCTAGTTTTAGTAAGACAGTGTCTCTCACTCGCCACCCTGGAGTAAAGCCTGAGGTCTAGGCTGATGTAATCAGCGTGTGTAGAAGATAGGGGGCTGGGGAACTGGAAATGAGAAAGAAAGAAAAATCTCTCAATTTTAAACGTCAAAAACTCGAAACCAGTGAAAGCCTTATCAAGGCGCTATGCCTCTGACTGATATCTCTGAAATACTCGTAAATTTTCGTAGAAAGTACCTTTTGAAGCACTAAAATTTGAACAAGCTTTGCAAACTCATCGCAATGCTAGCAAAGTGAACAGTAATAAATTTAGAGACAGCACACGGCGAGCGAGATTTCGGAATACCTGTATCAATGGTATACGACCGATTAAAACTGTTGAGTTTATTACCAGTGAAAAAGCAGTTCTTACGATAAAATAACTTTCTAATCTTCTCCTTACGGCACACCAAATCTATCCTGACAATCTGTAGCCTTATTGACTTCTAAACAGCCCCTGTTATATATTAGATTACTCTTATACAAATAACCTCGTTAATATCAGGTTTGTTATGATCTAGGTAAGTTTTTTAGCTTCTAAAAATTATATTAAAGGTAAATGTCAGAGTTTTTATTATTGTCCCGGATAAAATCATCATTACCATTATCATTAGCATTATCATCGTCATTATCATCGTCATTATCATTATCATTATCGTTATCCATGTCATCGCTAATGCCATCGCTGTCCTGAAATTCCATCTCAGATTTCCCCCCTGATGTTTGATCGTTTGTCTCCGTGGACTGACCCGAAGATTCCACCTCAGAATCATATTCATCCTCTATTTGTGCGTATGAATTTCTGTCATTTTCACTGTTATCTGCCATAAGCTCACCATTCTCGAGATCATTTTGATCAACTTCCTCAAAACCTGAGCTTGTGTCCAAAGGAGGCGCCTCATCCATATCTTGGTCCTCATCTCTTGAATTGCTGCGCATTTCCAAGGGGTTGTCAACTCCATTATTTATAGAGTTGTCATCTGTAATATGAACTTTCTCAATCTCTGTCCGCCTTGTCCCTGTTTTGTCTACCGTTTGTTGATTTTTATTCATGAACTTTTTCAGTTTGCTTGATTCCAAAGAAGAGTTCATCTTGGTCAAGGCGCTAGAGCGAGTTTGTTCCTTGACAAGTTTTACAGGAGTATGCTCTTTTCTCCTTGCTACTCGACCTTTTTTAATCATCTGCAGTTTATGCATCAAATCATCCACCTTGGTCTTTTGTCTCATCTTGGCGTACAACATAGCTAACGATTCTTTCATTAGCCTGCTGTTTCGAGGTATTTGACCTTTTTTGCCTTCTTTTGTCTTTTGGAGAATCTTCTCCAGCATCAGATAAACCTCTTTGTCACTATCTTCGTGAGTGCTAAACACTTTTCCCATTTTCTTCCCATTGCTTTTGCCGTTTGTGTGACGAGAGTGTTTCTTCCCACTCACTGATGGTATGGAATCAAGGACGTTATCTAAAATAATTTTGTTAGCTGTTGACGACCTCCAAGGGCCCCAAAATCCAATGGTCCCGTTTTTTGATGGGTTCGCAAGGGGGTCCCTCTCAGGGAACCACACGGGACTGGCCTTTTTTTGGTAATCAATGAGCTTGTGAAGAAGTTGGTCCACAATGTCAATATGAGTGTGCGCAAGGTTTCTGTACTCGCAAGGATCTGAAAAAAAATTACAATGTTATCCAGGTCGAATTGGAATTTGGACATGTTGGCTTCTGTCGAGGAAAGAAAGCCGGAGAACCCGGAGAAAAATCATCGGAGCAAGGCGAGAGTCAACAACAAACTCAATCCACATATGGCACCGGGTCGGAATCGAACCCAGGCCACATTGGTTGGAAGCGAGCGTTCTCACGACTACCCCATTCCTGATTACCAAAAAATTCCATAAAAAAGGTTTTAAAAAAAAACTCGATTTGGAGTGGTATTCGATCTTGGAATAAATGCAACTATTTTTCTAACAGACATCATGTATAATTTACTGACCTTTCTTTATGTTAAACAAACACGGAAAGTCATCAGTGTTACAAACAGTTTCTTTCCTTTTTGACCACTTTCCGCAATTAATAACTGCACCGGGTAAAGTGGAGGGCTGGGGTAGAGTATCCAGTTCCCCCTCGACGTCATACCGCGGATGCCACGTTGTTTTGTAAACAGCATCCTGGTTAATAATCAACTTGTAGTTCCCGACACGAATGGCTGCAAATTTACGAATGGGATCAATGTTGTGAAGAACCTAACAAAGAAAGCACAAAATTTCTTTAGCCTTACCCGTAGAATAGATTGCATAAATATTTAGCTATATTTTAGAGTGTTATGTCACGTCAGGCCGTATGACATGGTTTTCGTATATCAATGCAAATATGAAAACTCCTTATCTTCGTCGAAATAAGCCCTATAAATTCCGGGCTCTCTATTAGGAGAAATATTATACTGTCAGGTCATAAAATGCTGTTTTACATCATTTGCATGTCACAGTCATTTTACGTCAAGTATACAATGGCATTGTAATTAATGGCATCAGTAGGGTTGTCAGACCTCGTAGAGCAATTTTTCTACCGCGTTGTTACTAACTGCTGACGTTTTTCGATTATAAATTTACTCGGTTAACAAGACAACAACAGGACTGCAACTTAAACGCACTTAAACGGAAGTCGTTTCTCAAAACATGTGGCCTACAGTTTTCATGTTATGCGTCTCTGATCCATTCACACAATCTTCAGTTATCTTCAGCCATCCCTTTTTACCCTACTATAACAAATTTTCCAATTTTCGTTTTTATCTTATCAATTATCAACGACATCACGAATTCAGTGCTTCGTCTAACATGATCGTCTGGGTCGGGTGGGGTGAGAGCAGTCCTGAAAAGGACTATAGACGGTAACTATTGTTAACCGTTATCGTACCTCAGTCCTTGGAGATTTCTTTCCATGCGCTATGGTTTCCCACACATTCATGCCATCGATCCTTTCTTGTATCTTGCTGACGTCACCTCCAGCCAGATGATAGAAGGTTGGTAACCAGTCTGTGACGTCGATCAAGTCATAACTGACTCGACCTTTTTTTCTTATCAAATTGCTGTGTACAAATCCTACTCCACGGACTCCTCCCTCCCAAAATGTGTCTTTGCCTCCTTTGAATGGATAATTGCAACCTTGATTCCTAAGAAAAGAGAGAGTGATAAGAAAACACTTCAACCCCGAGATATGCCTTTAATTTTTTTCTGCAGCTTTAATTCGGAATCCTGTCCCGGTCGTCAAGCAAATTTATCTCCAAAAAGTTCATTTACCACTTTTATGGTCAGTGATGCCATTTTCTTACCAGTTAAATCCTCGTGGAGCGCCTCCGTTATCTGTCGTGAAAACGAGAACAGAGTTGTCATACAATCCACTTCTTTTAAGAGCTTTTGTAATGTTTCCAACCGATTCATCTAACGAAGCCACCATAGCAGCGTAGATTCTTCTTTCTTCTGATGAAAAGTGGGGAAATTTCTGAGGAGAGAGGAAGTCAAGAGATAATTAATTTAAGATCATACAATTTCGTTTCGACGCCAAAGGTTGGAATGTCAACAGAAAGTTCAGAGTATTTTTGTCTCTTTGTTTCTATTTTTTCTGCTTGCCTGTCTGTCTGTCTGTCTGTCTGTCTGTATCTCAGTCAGTCAGACAGTCAGTCAGTCACTCAGCCAGTCAGTCAGTCAGTGTGCCAGCCAGGCAGACTGACTGACTGACTGCAGACAGACAGGCAGGCAGACACCCGCGTGCATTCCGAACCAACATGGACACAGACAGGTTCACTGAAACAAGCATAC